CAAATCATTTTTCAGAAGCATTTTTTTGAAGGTCAGTTGAATATAAATCAGATCAAATAATTATTTTTTTCTCTTTATAAATTTTGTAGTATTACTGCTGGTGATCCTCCTCTGCTACGTGACAACTGTTACATCTGCTGCCATCGCTGTCCTGTTTGCAGTCCACTGTCCATCCCGTATTATGGATGGGCAAAAAAATTCATCTACGCTTCTTGATAATGATGGTCACAAAGCGCTGTCATCGGGGCCGTGTAACTCATCCGGTGTTTCCAGAACGTAGGTGATAGTTTACGATCTCGATAGGTTGTGCCCTATTTTATTTTCCAGCTAATTATTCACGTCCATCAGTGTTTGTTCAGTTGGTGAAGATGGGTGACCTCCCATCACAGCTAGTACTTTTCTCTGTCAGCATCAGTAAAACAAATAGTTATTCTGCAGACCAAGGTGGAGTGGTGTTGGCGATACTCATCTTTTCTGGGCTGCGCCTTCACCAGCTTGAGAAATCACCAAAAGGTTTGGTATCAGAACTTAAAATATGAAATCCTCTGAAACAAGCCCACCTGAGTATAAACAATTGGCTTTAACGACATCTAGAAATTTTGTCTTGACTTACGTGAAAAGCAGAAAATTTGGTCAATATTGATCATGGATACTTTCTTCCAAATCGACCCTATCTGAACAAGCTGGTATCCTGAGTTTTGTGACCGTATACACCAAAACATGCTTTCAAATTATTAGGTCCGCTGCAACATTTGTTTTTTTGGGAAATCAAGCAAAACTGTAATGAGTTTCTTTGGAATTCAATATGGGATGTTTTTAAGCGCATAGAGTCATAAATAACCGCGTAGGAAACTCTCGAGGAATTTTTTGAGGTCTAGTTATTTAACTTTTGCGTTTTTGAAACAGACAGCACAATGTAACTCATTCACAATGTTGATTGTTATGTACCGGCTGTCAAGCGACTGGAGAAAACATCCTACTAATTTACGTAAACTAACGCAACGCTGATTTTTGTCCTTTAGTTTCAGTGAACTCCTCTGTGATTACCCGACTTGATTCTTATCAGTAGGCGCAATCCTGAGAAAGCATCTACAAACTACTTATTTACCTAAACTACTCATCTCTCATGTCCATCTGGAAGCGGCACATCAGCCACTGTGTCTTCAATTCATCACAAGTTATTTTTGGATTTCAAAAACAGATCACAAAAGGGACTTAAGAAGGGATATAAGACAGCGCAATCTCATGCATCAAGAAGTAATTAATAGATTTTCCACTGTTAGCATAATTTTGGAGTTCAAATAACAATGAGTCGTGGCTTGTATCAACCATGTGTCTTTCATGTATAGTCTTTGGGCGTCTAACATTAATCCATTACCGGTGATTTGAGGTCCGTAATATATTTTTAACAAACGCAAAAGTCTCTAATTAAAGGAAAGTTAAACCAAACCACTTCAGTTATTTTGAGAGCATAAAGCATTAGATTAATACATGAATAAATTCAACCATGTGCAGGTATTAGCATGCATATAGCGTCAACTTTACGTGTAGTACTCCACCGCGTGAAAAGATCAAATTATTCTTAATCAAAATTCTTGACTAAATTGATTGAAACAAAAACGAAATCTTCTAGTATGCAACTATGCCCCAATGGCGTCGATAGAAACCATGTTTTTCAATTGAATTATGCAGAGGTGAATAGTGACCATGTTTGCTTTAGGAAAGCATGATTAAGATATGGTAATTAGTTGTTTACGTAGTGAAGTACAATGGCGGTTCCCTAAAAATTAATTAAGTCTGACTCCACCGTGACAGGTGAATAATCTTTTTGCCCTTTACTACTTCAAACATTGGTCATATTACAACCAGATGGAGCGATAATTGTCTCCGGGGATGTAGGTTTTGGCCTTGGGGTATTCAGTGTACTGAAATATTTTATATTGATCAAAAAATTGTTTATACGATCAATGAAGACGATTGGACAATTGGAGACCATCGTAAAAAAAAGAGATTAGGGTTTTGTTTGCAAATGAATGAAAAAATCCTTAACTTATAGTTCGATGTTAATTTGTGTAAGTAGACTTTTGAGAAACCACACGCAAGTTGTGGGCTGCGAAAAAGATTTCAGCAACCTTCTAAGTAGTATTGCTACAGAATAAAACTATTATCAAATTAATTTCAGAAACAGTCGGCTTATTTTCATGTGACTTTATGGCCGGTAAAATTTGCGAACGTTTGTAACAGGCTTCCGAAATTTCGGTGATTCAGAGGAGATCCATAGTTATCTCAAAGCTCACTGCTTCTTGGCAAGTTGCTCCAAGCATTTGGTTTTGGGTGGGCAAAACTTGGAAAAGAGAACAATTTGTTGTCACCTACTGGAAGGAGTCACAAAGCAGATTAAAAAGGTGGTCGTAGCCCGATGTAGTTACTGAAACCTGTGGGCAGACCTGATAGTTTCCAAGCGACGAGTTTGGGGGTTAGGCGGGAAATGAGAGAAATAGGGTCATTATTAGGTGTTTGATAGACGCATGATTAATTTACGACCAGGTGCGTTGATGTGAACTTAGATCAGCAAACAGTGCTCCGTGGAACGCCCTACCAAGGGTAGTTACTGTCCTCTACACACTGGTTTCACAGTTGGATTTATAGGTTGTGTATGCTATAACTGATTCGCTTATGTGAATTTCACTCCCATTGTACGGGAGCCAGGATAACACATAATACGTCTGTTTCAATGATGAATCACTCGTCCGATTGTTAGCCTCCGACATAATGCTTGCTACCTGACTCGTGAAGTTTTAATTTCCCTTTATTTAATTCGCCACTATCTCAGTTTTGTCTTCTCCAAAAACTCTCCCAACAAATCTATGGAGATAGAAATCATTGCATGCAGTGCAGAGACCAAAACGTTCAAAAATAAGACTGACAAGTTCGTCTCGAGATATTTACCGTTATACCACGAGGGGAAAATAATTTAAGACTTGGTTAAGGGAGAAACGACCCAAAAAGGTCCCTCACAAACGTAGTAGGATCAACATAAATGTTAAAATAAACAATCAAATATTACTCGAATACTTAACTAGAGTTGCTGGCATACGATCTTCATTAGAACAGTTAAATCCAGCAAATTGAATTAGATGTGAGTACCAGGTGGTTAATCTAAATAGTAAATACACCTCCAATTCCATTCCGAGGACCCCAATTCATTCAAGCATCTATTATCGGACGTTAACCAATCAGAGACCTGTTTAACAACTGTTAACCCCAAAACGCTGCGATTCGTCAAATTGCCATGAACCAATCTGAAGAAGAGTGATTGATATCACAGCCTATTGTTGGTTTTTGAGGAAATAGAAGTTAGTGGCACGGTGAATTTGATTCGTTTACGGGATGGCTAGTGTAAAAACGCGTGCAAATGATCTGCACTGACTAAACACTTATCTACGGTTGTTCTTATAACCGCTCAATGGGTTTCCGAAAAGAGTCGAAAGACCGATATAGTAATTTAGTTTTTGCCGACATTTACGCATGAGAGTCCAAATGTTTATTTTCTGGAATACGGACATTTTAATGCGGTATCCGGCTATGAATCGTCACCGGGTGATAAAGACAAGCTTCAGAACTTGGTTATCCAACAAATGTCTGTTCTCATAATATAATTGAATGCCATCTGGGAGCCAACAGAAAGAAGTAAAACGATACTCTACATATCGGAAAATAACTGGTCTGGCGAAACTAAGACTTGCTTAAGGGAGAAACGACCCAAAAAAGGTCCCTCACAAACGTAGTCGGACCAATATAAATGCTAAGCTAAAATAAACACTCAAGTATTACTCGAATACTCAAATTGAGTTGCTGGCAAACGATCTTCATTAGAACAGTTAATTCCAGCAAGTTAAATTAGATGTGAGTACCAGGTGGTTAATCGAAATAGTCAATACATCTCAGATTCCATTCCGAGGACCCCAATTCATTCAAGCATCTATTATCGGACGTTAACCAATCATGCACCTGTTTAACAACTGTTAACCCAAAAGCGCTACGATTCGTCAAACTGGCATGAACCAATCTGAAGAAGAGTGATTGATATAACGGCCTATCGTCGGTTTCTGAGGAAATAAAAGTTGGTGGCACCGTGAATTTGATTCGTTTAAGGGATGGCTAGTGTAAAAACGCGTGCAAATGATCTGCACTGACTAAACACTTATCTACGGTTGGTCTTCTAACCGCTCAATGGGTTTCCGAAAAGAGTCGAAAGACCGATATAGTAATTTAGATTTTACCGACATTTACGCATGAGAGTCCAAATGTTTATTTTCTGGAATACGGACATTTTAATGCGGTATCCGGCTATGAATCGTCACCGGGTGGTAGAGACAAGCTTCAGAACTTGGTTATCCAACAAATGTCTGTTCTCATAATATAATTGAATGCCATCTGGGAGCGAACAGAAAGAAGTAAAACGATACTCTACATATCGGAAAATAACTGGTCTGGCGAAACCCTCAGAAAACGCTTTGAGATGAACAATACAATTCACATTTAGACTAAGGACTGAATCCTCTGAAGCCGACTGATAAGGGCTTAGAGCTGTGAATGATGAACAGTTGTTTCAATGGCTCGTATCTACTAAACGAAATGTGGTTTATGCACCTAAGTCACCATTGTTCCCTAGTATCAACCAATTTAGACTCCATGATTGCCTATGAATTTACAAAATCCTCCATCTGTTTGGCCTGTTTACTAAACGTGACGGCGATTTTAGAGAAACAAGCACAAAACAGCAACCGAGAAACGACCCACCCTGTTTCGAGGGCAATTCTCGACATCTATGGTCGCATTTTCTTTGGGTTGTGAATGGTCGTGAGCCAGAAGTTATGTTCATCATTAGGACTTTGAATTTGTCCTATGTGATTGACAATAAAAATGTGAGATATTTCGTGTTTTAAAACCTGGAAGATGTATTCTCATTTTTGCAACCGTTCTGCTTTGCACGAAACATGGTTATTCACCGCAGGAAGAGTTCTGTGCGAGGACCGGTCGAAGTGAGTCAAGTGGCATCCTACTTGGAGGAATGTTTACATCCAAAAAGTCCCATGCTTGCAGAACAGCTTACAGTAAGTTCGTTTTTTTTTCTTTCTCATATACACCCACCTTGAGCATATCACTGTTGTTTTGTGGTCACTTTAAGGCTCGTACTTCCTATCGTTTCACGTGACATGACGCACTCTTCTTAAACTCAGCAGCAGCATGGTTTCCAAAGAGGCTTTAAAGTGAAAACACCTCATAAGTATTACGGCTGACATAGATGAAAGTCAAAACAGGCTGGCATAGAACGACAGCAGTCCTACACCAATGGCTTTTCATAACTGAGCGAAAAACCCTGGCGTGTTAGGGTAAACTACTATTTTCGGCACAGAGCTGATTTCACGGGCACCTTTTGCGAATTTCAAGTGTCAAACCGAATAAAAGGGGTTATGAAGCGCAATATACGCTTGATTGTACTTCATGAATCTGTTGCATGCTTCAGTAAGCTGCAATGATGTGTGCAACTGAACTTTACAACATTTATTTTGACGCTATGTAGAAGACAATAAGGTGCAAACGGGCTTTAAGAACTTAACATTTGTTACCAAAAGCAAAAATTTAACCTCAGGAAATGTTTTTTGGTCAAACAAACTACCAGCGTATGAGGGATCCCTTCGTGATATTCTCAGTAAACGATGACGAGAAACACTTCAATGGAACAGACTTTCCAAGAGAAGAATTCACTTTGAGCGCAATAATTTATAAATAAAATTTATGTTCTTGTGAATATTTCGTCCTATGGATGAAGGCAATCTATACTGAAAAGCCGACAAGTACTTTACAGCTGTTTCATCCTTACTGAGAAACTCTGGACTGTCTCGAACTTGATTAGTAGTTTGGATACTTAGCCGTTCGGTCACGAGCGGCTGATCAGATGTGTGATTAACTCGCGCTCAGACAGGATACAGCGTCACTCATCCCTCAGCCACGGGATCCACATCACACGGTTTCACCTATTGACTGGCTCCTCGGGCAACAACTTCTGCTACTGATGGTTCCCAAGGAGGATGAAACAGCTGTACAGTACAACTCGGCTTTTCAGCATGGATTAACTTCACATACAGGATGAAATCTCCGCAAAAACCCAAATCTCCTCACACTATCAAAAATTTATTTTCATTTGCAATACTATGGTTTAGCCTCCTCTAAGAGCGGGACAAGTAGATTCCCCACAAAATAAAACTGTCTTAGTGAATGCCCATGATTGCTTCTCTCTTCGTGGAATCACCGTGCCCATAAAATTTTGAAGGGTTGGCAATTCTAGTCTGTGGCCATTATAAATATTTTCCACAGATACCGCCCTTAGCTAGTAACAGATATGATTGCTCAAATATCCTCTCATCATTTTGATGTGTCGCTTCCAGCATATGCGGCAACAACGGAGTAACATGGAGCAAACCCGGGGACTCACGAACAACATCGCTCGTCTTCCAGAAAATCTCCCGCTGAATCGCCAGGCGGATGCAGTTCCGTGTAAGTGTTCTAATTGATTGCCTCTCTTTTTTTGCCAACCTATAGTTTCGGGGCGTTTGTGTGAGCACCTGTTCAGCTGATTTAGCCTACAGTATTTGAAAACCATAGTCTTTTTCAGCAGGTTTATATTGACATCGCTTTGCACCAGTCGGCGAGCACATCAAACATTCGCTTCTTATCGTTGTTTTTCCCATCGTTTCCTAATTTAAATGAACTGTCGTATCAATCATATATACTACCGACAGGTGCTTTTGCTCTGACTGTTTATCACGTTTGGTAGATAACCCCTATATGTTCTCAAAATCTCCGTACAATAAGATTCCCAGCAACACTGCTAAGATGTCAGTCTTCATTAGGTATCGGATGCCACAACCAAAGATGACCAATCGTACTCAGCAGCAGGGAATCCAAAGGTGGATGTGTTCGTCATCATCAGCTTTTAAAATTGACCAATTAATTGGCGCACAGTGTTCCTGGATGCCACAGTTTCGTTCACCAATGATGTAGGAAAGCGTGGACTACGAACAATTCGAGTAAAGGAACATACGGCAACTTAAATTGGGCTGGTCACTGGTTTGACAGGAAGGTTTTTCAAGTTTACATAAAACTCGGAATCCTCATCAACCCCAGTCATATATTAGTCGGCAAAAGCTCCCTCATGTTTTATTTATTCACTAGGCGTCGGATTTATTGTTGAAGCTATGATTACTGGTTCTTGTGAACCACGTGAATATATACGCTACAAATCTTGCGACCAGTGAAGGTGGCCGGTATTGCAATGCGCTTTTTATGTTATCCCAGAGAACTCATTTATTATCATTGTCAGTAGCACAAAACTATCACACACCTTGCGAACACTTCAGCCAGAGCAATATCTAAAGGATTATCCACTTCTAATCTGAAACCTATCGAGTGTAAGAAATTCCAGTTGAAACACATGTAGATTGATACGTGCAAAGTGGGATCGAAAAAGCTAGAAAAGGGGAATGAGAAACAAATGCTACTCCATAGGTTGTCACGGAAAAGGTCATATGCATAAAAATCTTGAAAACTGATTCCTGCATATTGCAGGACGGTGACTAATCACGTTCAGATTAGATCAGCTGTTTACCGACTGAAAACTACCTTCAGCTATCTGTCTGCAAATTGTCTCCTGTTTTTCCAATACTGTACAACATTCGTTGTATGTGATTGTGCATAGTTATATCAAACTTGGCAATTTCGCCGGGATAGGAGAAAGGCTGTCCAATCTAAAGAAATGTGAACGTGAGTTCAACATATCTTGCAGTTACCTCGATCCAACTGACAAATGTCCAGCAGCTTTCCAAATTCCACTGCGCTACCTGAAAGGGAGATATTCACAGGCAGACAATCGATCAAAATGACCAGAGTGGTTACCATGATGTCCTTCGTGGCGTCTAGCGCATTTGTACTGTTTGGGCTTGACGAACGAGGTGTCCCTAGGATGCGCTTGTGACCTCGCATATTGGATGTCCGAACGGCTGAAAAGACTTCCTGCGGACAATCGACAACAGTGAAGGAAGTCCTTTGCTTCTTGAGTTTATTGTAAACTCGATGGAATCGTTCTACCAAGAATGGATGAGGACTGTTCAAATCAGGGTGAAAAGAATAGCATATGACTGTTGGAAGTATGGCATCAGCGGAGATGCACCGCATAGCCATCACGATGAAATTATTGTTGCGTATCACTCAAGTGCAGGATCGATTCGACACAGCTTTGTATTGAGAGTACTCGATGAACCACCATCTCTCTGAACCCCGCATTCAGTAAGAAAACGTTCCTGGACAGAAATATTCATCACAGTCTGAGTTCTGAATCTGTTCCGTTTCGTTTCGATTCCGCTTACGATTTTTTTCAATTTCAGAACATTAAAACTTATTCGGAAGAGGCCGGATAGAGAGAATCGACACATATAATATCATGCAGGCACTCTAACAATAATTCCATGGAAATATTATGCATATATTCGTACATGCAGTTACCAGATTGTGGTAGGGTGGAAATCATAGTCGTCCTGCGTCACTGGAGATACCAAGTAAAAGCACATCTGGAATGTGCGCATATACGCAATAGTAAACATTGTTTTGGCTCATATTTCTGCAACAAGGGAGAAAATTAGAGTGAAAACGTCTCGTAGACTTGTTCTCATAAAGTCACAAGTGTCCCATGATGACGTCCGATAATTCTACAACAGTATTTAGTTTGCTTTAAGAAAATGTATTCCAAAACCTTCCACGGTGGAACCATTCTCCACAAAAACTGAGTTTTCCTAAGCTTGGAGCAAATAAATGACGTCAAAAACCGAAGGTTTTTAACTATGTGCAAAACACATCATTGGACCATGTTTTGCCTGTAAAGTTGCCTCTTTTGTATTGCGTATCTTTCAGTGCACAAATTCGGTCGACCGTTTTTGGTCACTGGTGCATTTTATTCGGTTAAGATTCTGTGCACTTTTAATTGTGCTGTACGGCGCCAGACTGCGCTCATGCTGACAATACATATAGGTTCCTGAGTCCCCCTGATAAGACCCTTAGACCATTTTCAGATTTTCCTTAAGTTTGTGTTACAGCAAAGATACCTTTGGTTAGGATTCCTCTCTTTTTACTCTTTGTTACTCTTTTTACGCTCTACTCGTTTTACTCTCTTTCATGAGTTATAAACTCCTAATCAAGCAATTTTGCCCATTATCGTTCTCCACCTTCTTATTTAGATGATCAGAACTTAGTTCTGTTAAGAAGCGGATATGAACATGTTGGGGTAAGCATAAAATTCGTCTCCGAATTCCGAACACACATTAACTTGCCTTATTGGAGGAAAGAAAATAAATCACTGCGTGAATTCAATAACAACACTGTGGCGGAATATCATACAGCTATACACCAGGATTCTCTCATAATTTTGCCGCGTTCATAAGAAATTTTAGGGTTTTTTGCCAAGTGACTAAGATCGTCTGTTAGTGTACGCGTATCACACATAAATTTGCGCAAAAGAACAACACACCTTATAATGTGAGAAGTCCAAGAGAGGTAAAGAAACTCTTACAAAGATTTTCACCTTACCGTAGAATGTGCCATTTGCCTTATAGCATCCCTGTGAAACAGTACCTCTTTACCGGTGGATACTACTGATGAAGCATGCAAGTATTATGTGGTTATCTCATAAGTCCGGATTCTCTCATAATTTTGCCGCGTTCATAAGAAATTTCAGGGTTTCTGCCAAGTCACTAAGATCGTCTGTTAGTGTACGCGTATCACACATAAATTTGCGCAAAAGAACAACACACCTTATAATGTGAGAAGTCCAAGAGAGGTAAAGAAACTCTTACAAAGATTTTCACCTTACCGTAGAATGTGCCATTTGCCTTATAGCATCCCTGTGAAACAGTACCTCTTTACCGGTGGATACTACTGCCCACATTGAACAAGCCCTCTTAAACTTCCAAACATTTATTCGAAGAATTCGTAGAACAATAAGTTAAATTAACCTTCATTTGACGAGCTGTATTATTTATTTAAATTAATCCTTAGAGGTGTATTCACTTACTGTTACCGTGTAAATGACCGTTGCGTTTTTTAGGTATTGTAGAATACGTACGTAGAGTGACCCAACTGCTACCAGTATCCGCACCAATCGCTCTAAAAATGCCATGCCGTTGGAGTAAAGCCTAGGATCATCGGTGATGTCATCACTGTTCATTAGCTATCTGCGCGTATTACAATTTTGCACCATATGAAAGAACCTATGATGAACATGTATGCAAATTTGGCTACCTGCCTGCAGTCATCTAAATGTTCGTTGATATCCTTGTACAATCACTTACAAATTGCTCAATTTGCTGCAAAGCCTTCCAACTGACTGTACCGAGCAAAAGCAGCTGCAGGCTTTATTTATAATGATAGTCCAGAAAATTCAGCGTCTTCTCCTGAAATAACACTGCTCATATGTTTAAGGAAAACCAGCCGACAGCCACTAACAACCGATTGTATGCTAGCAACTACTTAGAAAATACACTCATTTCCATGCTAATTTGGTTTCAAGGGAGTACACCTGGAACCCATCTGAATCTCTCCCTTTTATGGTGTGTTTAAGCAACTGAATGAAGCGGCCTGGTGCGTCAGCTTTCTGAGCTTAATTATTGATTCTAGCTGTATTAGAGGATCTCGCACGTGGATGTAGTGCCACAGCAAATGGAATTTGAAATCTTGAATCACATCTGACAAATGAAGGCAACTAAAACCGGGCGGTATACAAAGGCCCCCGGCAATGACAGATGAGTTTGGTGCATTGTATCACCCTCCTGGCTTATGCCCTGATTTCCAGAAATTTGACAGAAACTGGACTAAAACACTTTGCGGAAAGAGGCCAAAACGAGATTTCTCTAAAGCAAATACTCATGGTTTAAGAAACCTAACTTGCTTCAACAACAGTTTGCTGTATTCCTTTTACCAAAAGGCTATATGGACATCGAGTTGGTAACTCGAAGTATTTTGTGCACTCTGATAAAACGAAGGCTATGAAGTTAACTCCTCATCTCCGGGTTCGCAATCAGCATGCACGACTACCAACTCAGTCAAACTTTCTTGTTCAAATTTTCATCATCTGGGTCCGTACCGGAATAATTCACAAGAAACTATTGCCAAAACTAATAGGAAGACAATTCTTGATCAGCCGACTTGCTAACAGTTGAACTAATGGCCAACGCCATGCGTTTGAGACATCGATCTCCGAAGGAAACTCCAACAAGGCGCCCCTAATTACGGAACTTTGTGTCACAACACAATTTCGTGTATTCTTTCCGTTTTTCTGAACAGATTGGTAAATACATCAACGCCAGCATCATCCACGCCATCCAGCCATGTAACGATCCCTATTGGCCACCTGCACTTGACGAAAGTCGTATTGATTACATTGCGACACAAGCTCCACTGGTTTCGACAGTCGGTGACTTTTGGGAGATGGTGATTCAACTTCGTGCAAACACTATCGTAATGCTAGCGCCGTAAGTAAATGAACTCTTTCGAGTGTATTCGTATTGCTTTATACTATATGCCAATTATCAAAGTGAGTTTTTCAGAATGTACTAGTTTCTGGTAAAACATATTTAATTAAATGCTAGCTCTAAATTTTGTCAACCAATTAAGATTACGGACATACAAACAAATTCAAATTGTACCAGCCTTTTCTCTAATGACTTCCTGAGAGAAATGACGCCTCAGATACCTACAAAATCACTTCCAATGAGCCTTAACTCACTTAACAAAAGTTGTAGCTTATTGGCAGAAACAGACACTAAGATTTACTACTTTACACCTAAGAATCAGTGTAAACAAATTTGACCGCACTTATTTGCTGGAATCCCGGCTGTTTGGACTGTAATGACAAGGGCCTACACATCGCAAAAGCCGTTAGCTCCACAGAGATGCATCATACAGATTTCAGGGCAAGCTCCTCGTTGCAGTTCCGTTTTACTTCTCTGAATAGTTGACAATACACTTTGACATCGGATTTCTAAAAATGTTCCAGACCCAGACCAATGCTTTTCAGTATAGACAGGTGCCACGTATCACGAAATGCTTAGGAACGAATACGCATTTGGAAAGTATCAGAAAGGTCAGATACCTTAAAGCAACTTCAGAACGCCCGGAACCTACTGCTCCATCAAAAACTCAACAGGAAATCCGGCAAGCATCCAGGTCAGTCAATAGTTTAATCAATTCAGCAAAAGCTGGTGAGTGTTCTTGCGCGCCACAGAAGCACGACCGAATGTGATCTGCGTTCAGGCATTTCATAGAGGCATGATCGATGTTGATGGGTGTTCATTAACGCCTATCAGACAGCCTGGATCAATGTCGGAAAGTCCCCTTTAAATAGCGTGTGGCCGTTGTAACTTTTGCTTTCGCACTCGCACGTATTCACTCACTTGTTCGGAAATAAAGCTGCTGTGTTCCCTTCTGTGAGTCTTTTCTCTCCAACATCAGTCACTGGAGCGGGTCAGCAGCAGATACCACAGATTGACGAATCAGCAGATATAACAGAAAGGCAGCCGAAATTTTCAACGGGTATCTTGACTAATAACGATCTAGTGAAATACGGTATACAGCCCCCATTTCCTTTTTTAAATGTAGATGGAAGGGACAAAGGAGTAATGCATTTTTGGAGCTCTGGATATGGCGCAAAGCTAATGACAGGATGGGTTTTAATTCAAGCCTGAGTTCGGCACCGCAATGCTCGACCTCACATTTCGTGGTTCCTTCGGGTGGCATAATATCTATGCATCGAAATGGCGTCAGAGCTGAATGCCCCATATTTTGATCACCATTGTTCAGTGTTTATAATATGCAACCAAAATAGTTACTTCGTACTAAGTCGACCAACGGCAAATAGTTTAAATTTCCGCACCAACGTCCCTGAGAATATTTTCCCATTTGCGTTTAACTTCAGACTATTTTGTTGAGATGGGCGGCCACATTGTGGCTTTGTTGAGTAAATTGTCTGTCCAATATCTGTTGAAACGATTAATGAACTCATGCATTTGTCATTACACACTAGCGCAGTGTTCTCAGTCTTTCGATTAATCTGAGAATTAGCAAACGTGTTGCCCTGAGAAGACCAACAAGCTTCCGTCTACATGAGCAAGCCGAGGACAAAAACAAACTGGTGACGTGTTTTCTTAGGAAGAAGACACTTCTTCCTCTAGTTGCAATCGCCTATGTATGGGTCACGAAACTTGTGATAAAAAAAGGCACTTGATTGTTGGAAATTTAAATTTCGTCAAGCAAAGCTCCATGGCACCACAGGTTGAAGAACATTATAAAGCAATAATGTGAACTAGTGGTAACTCGCACAATAACGTCCAAATTCTGAATGTCACCACACTGATAAGCAAGTGTATCTTATGGAAATATGTTTGGTCCATTCTTTCCTAATCCCCTACTCAGAGCATCTGGTGAGCGACTGTACGATTTTCTCCAGTACTGGCCCAGAAGCGTCGGTCACTGTCTGTTTTACAAGTGGGGAAAGCATCAACTGGCAGTGCGCTTGGAATCCGAAGACAAATATTCAGGTTATGTCCGCCGAAATATTAGGGTTATGTCAGTGAGTGATCTATCATGTACGGACTTCGAATTCGATGACACTAGGAAACGCTTTATAGTACAAACCTAATCAGAGACTCAAACCTATTTCAATCTTTTACATATTCTCTTCAAACCGGACATGAATGGCTGGAAATCAAAGACTGACAAGGCGTATTGTCCCTGAATCCAAGCTAATAGCAATTCACAGATTCGTTTCCATCGCAACAATCCAAATCAACTGCGGGCTCGGGGGCTTCTGATTCAAAGGACATTCACTCCGGTGATGGCTAGTCCGGTTGGTGTGGAGAAAACGACCAGTTAAAGAATCTCGATAGAATTTAGGTGTTTTATGCTTTCTTGATTGTCTGTGTCTCTCGCAGAAGAGCATTCTCTTTGTTCAGATTAACTTTCACAACGTTTACTGAGGAAAGTTTGATTACGTAGTTGCAATACGTTATATGGTGCAACGTTTGGTCCAAGATTTACAAGTGTCGGTTTTGGGGGCAGTTTCGTTTCTTTTCCAGAGCTAGTCAGTATGTAATTTCTGATTTGTTGTTTATCTGAGATAAACCAGTAGTTCAATTAAAAACATTTGGCGTATAGTCCTTTGAAGTATTTGTTTTGGAAGTCAGATCATGAACAGTGATTGTCCCAAAAGAGTCAAAGATTACTCGGCCAGGCAACCCAGGGAAATAGAAAAGCGGAAACGCATTTTTCAAATGTCGGCGTCTACAGGAACAGCAATGATTTGCTTGGGTACATCGCTGTGATGTCGGGCAGCTCAGTCAGACATCAATGCTGTATATTGCTAAGCGGCTTCGAGGGCGTACAAAGAGTTTGAGACCCTTTTGTTTGAAGAATGAGTAAACATTCTGTGACTGATTTTTTAAGGAATGAGTGCAAAAAAGTGCTCGAGAGTGTGAGTTTTTACAAACAGACGTGCAGTGAAGTTTAAGGGTGCTTTGCTCTGAACCACCTGTCTTTCTTAGTTCGCCTATCGAGATGGTGAATGCACCCCATAGGAGAGTGAACCAATTTCACTAGATAAGTCTAAGAACGGTCCGAGCAAAGCTATTGCATGTAATAATTTTGATGCAAACAGTTTGCTACAGGTAGCAAAGCAGTCCTTCAGGTGCAAACGGATGGATTTTCTTCAACAACTGATGACAAAATTACATGGGATTTTGTCTGGATTCTCCATAATCAAGTCTACATGGATTTTGCTTCCAAATCAGGATACTGATGTCGAAGACGATCATTTGTCCTTTGCATCACTCGTAAGAAACTGAGAAGTGATGAAAGTAGCCGACAGGCAGAGTAATCAAGGCCAAATACCTTACTTTTTGCACGAATATAAACGGTGTCACTGCAGTTTTCATCTACACTTGGAGAGAAAAACTAAATCCACTGGGAAAGTAGGTCGTAAACAAGTTTTTTCGGATTATCAAGATGGGTTTGGGATTGATCGTTATATATTCTTCCAGAAAATACCCGTTCTAACCACTACGTAAATGAGTACATTTATTAAAATCGATTTTTCCCGTAGTCCTCTGACGTGGAGAATCCGGTCAACGTGGTACATTTCCAGGTGAACAACTGGCACGAAAATGGTGCTCCAGTCGCTCAAGATTTTCGTTGCTTTTTAGCAGCTTATCGGATGGCCAAATATAAAATGACGGATAAAAATTCTCCGACGATTGTACATTGCATGTAAGGTTGAAGCACCTTTCAATTAGAGGAAATCAAATTCATATCTGACGTGCATTTTGTAGCGGTCACCTCAAAATGATTCATTTATGCGAAGATTAAAAACTGAGTAGGACTTCACGACCCGGATAATTGAAGTATCAATATTTTTGGGTCCCAAGAACAATATTTCTTGAAAGCTCAGATAATTATCTGTCATTAATCTGTTTGGTCATTTTTGAAACGCCATTTATAGAAAAACCATAGCAAAGCAACACGAACGCGAAAGAATATTCTTAAAGAGCATCTCAAAATATTATGAGACCCGGTATAATTAGATGTCAATGTATGGACAACAAATTTTGTTGTGTCATTCACTGTCAAAAGACCTGTCGAATAACCCAAGGTATCGTCATCGTACTGATAAACCTAATAACCCTAATACTTACGACTTCATGATTTTGCCTATTCAGTTAGATGAATCCAGTCTCCTGGTTCTTAACATTAAAGACAGGATATGCGCCGAAAGATTGTTTACGAAGACCAACCACTCTAGTTGGATCACGCTAAGAACTTTCATCGTGCCATGAAGCAGATATATCGAATTCCTTACTTGAGGAACACCACCATTGTGGATCAGCCATCTGACGTGAACCAATCCATGTTCAATGGAGATTTTATCCAATCAGTGAGAACGGTCTATGCTGAAAAGCCGTGAAACTTGTGTGAAGCCGTTTCGACCTTGCCAAGATTCACCAGCAGTGTGTGTCTAACGGAACTAGAGGAATTTCGAACCCGCAACATTTCGGCTGGCGGATAATCACAACCGTTTGAACACGAGTAAACGGTGTGAGTAATTCTCACTTAGACAGGAGATAGTATTGACCGCTGGCCTCACAGACCACTACTTGAAGATATAAATCTGGCTATAAATTGAAAAGCCGGTGAAAAACCTTGCTAGCTTGGACTTTCTATACTTTCCGTCGCTTGTAGTTCTTGAAACCCGAAACCCGAGTGATGATCGCGTTTTTCAACCGACCTAACCGAGGCAGCTTCACACCTGTCCACGACTCAAATAGTGTCTCCCCTGTTAAGGCATAAATTCTCTGCATGTAACGTGACATATAATTCAGCAAGAGACACATTAATGAGGCCACCTGTTGGGCTCTAACAGCTACATCACTGATTAAAAGTAGTTTTGGCAATGGTGTGTAATACAGATAAGTCGGGTGCTGTGCTTGTCACCTAGATGAGTGGACAAAATAAAGCTGCTGATAAAGGTTTTGATATACATCATTTTTTATGTTATCTGAAAGAGAACATCTCCATCAAGGTCGCTTTACTATTGGCCAAGTAGCAATTGAATGAGGTTAGATATGCCAAGATTAAATATGCCGCAAAACGCTTCGTAGGCTTTCCTCCTACGACCAACATTTTGCAAGTACAGGAATGAGCGTTTAGTAAACATTTGATTCTATCACGAAAAAAATCGACTTATCCCACCGCTATAACGTGAGCGATCAGAACTAAACGATCAGCGACTAAATTTCCACATTTTTATAAAAAATGTAGTCATATAGCTTTTGTTGGCCACAACTCCCATGGTTGGCTGCCCTTTTTCTGGAATTGGAAATGTGTGTTGAAGTAACGGGGATGCTTTCGTGCCAATAATAAGCAACTTTCGGACCGTATTGTATGTATTGTAATGAACCCACTTGCTTCATGTATTGGAACGAAATTATTAGAGCAACTAGCTTAATTTGGAACAGTTTACACCGGAGCTGGGGCCGCGGATTCCCATTCTCTGACCGTAAACCCATAACACTTTCTACAATTCGTCATTGAACTGGTTAGCATAAACAAATACCAACCCTCCTACGGCGACAGAACTTCCAAGCGTTTAAATCAATTTGGTTCCTGTGAACTGGTGCCCTTGTAAAGACAAATGTTTCATCTAGACCAAACACTAACCAGGTCTTTTTTTCAAACACTAGCTTCCTAGAAGCAAGGTTCGTTTAACACTAGCTAGGATTTGTTCCGACTAGATAGCTTAGGAATGCCAGGGCTCAATTTACTCTCACAAGAGGATCATCAGAATTGGACTTTGATAACTTAAATCACCATCTGTCATGGTGCAAAAAACAACACAGAAAACATGGACGCCCATGGGTTCAGTTGATGCAACAGAACAATATGGGTGTTATGCACTTGGTGCATACAATTCAGCAGAATTTCGCTCTATGAAAAGACCAACTGTTCGAAACGAGCAAAATTATTCCTTTCTGGGAAGAATTTACGCTTCGCAGGACCAGCCAAGAGTAGACTCCCCCAAGAATCGCCTCATCAAAGTACAGGAAAACGTGACTCCACTAAAAATCAGCATTATACTTCGCTGTTGATGGTGTTTCCAGACATTGTGGTGCCTTCTTGGGATTGATAGTGATCAGTTTTCTTAATTTATAATCAATCAACAGACTCTGTAATCTCTTCCAGGCATGTAATAGTTTTATTTCATATTATCTGTCTAGCAACGGGACCGGTCGTACGGGGACATTTATTGCCGCAGATATCCTGAAAAGTCACCTAGAAAGTGGTGCTGCCTACGTGGATATTTATGGCCTCTTGGAGCAACTGAGAGTTTGCCGAATGGATATGGTCCAGAAAACGGTGAGTTTTTAATAAAATAGTGGTCCAGCTGGATGCAGTACCAGCGATTCATTCGTACCGGGTATTATATATAACAGGTACAATAACTGTTCTAAATAATACTGACTTTGTAACCAAAGGTAGTGCATATATTTATCAACACTATCTTGCTGCGATTTTCAAGACCTCCACAACATCACCTGTGTTTTTATATTGCCACCTCTGTTTGATTAAGAACAGTCAGACTTTTGACACATCGTACGTGGTATATGTTTACTCAATTCCGTATGATTAGAAATTGCAAACTTGTCCCGCGTCTACCGAGGGAGAGACATCATAAAGCGTACTTCATTCATACAAACGATTAAAGACATGACCTTTACTCTCTGCGATCCGTGTCCATGGATAAAACGCGTGATACTTCAAAGTGGCGATCTAATAGTTCATAATTTAAGCCTTTTGGTGCGAACTTGTAGTGATGATTTCTCAGAAGGGACCTGTCTACTAGATTGTGCAAGAGTAGCTGATATATCTAGATCCTTTACACACAGCTGTTTTGTAAAATTCGAGCAACTTATTCGATGAGGAACCGGGTTTTAAAGAATGGAAGAAATAGGGATGGTACCACCAAACCAAACATCCGCCGTCTTACATTTGTCTTATTTACGTCTTTGAAAAGCTTTATGTAGAAATCCACGGGCTCGCTTGCGAAAATCTTCTACAAGGCTGCCAGCTATGACATGTATTCCAATCGGTATGCGGTCAGCTCTAAGGTTGCTGTACAGATCCGTAACCTCAAAGTGAGTGTCGGTTAATATTGCTCCAAACCGTCGGCTAATTCTACTTGTTTGCACGTGCTTTCCGGATAATATTGTAGAGAAAAAGCGGCATTAGCCGTCAAGAAATAGCGTTTTGTAGGGGATTTCATGTTTCATTGTAGTTACAATTAAAATAATCCTTGCAGAAACATAAGGACTTACACCGATTCCTACTAGTACGGGGTTTCTAATGTCTCAAAATTTAAGATAAGACGCCTCCGTGAACAGATTGCCTTGAGGTTTTTCTTTGAGGTATCAGTAACTACAGGAACTCCAGACAAATGGTTTGTGAACTATCCACAGATTCCGCAAATCTCATCGTAAAATATTTTGAAATACCTATCTCACTTGACCTCTTTCAGGGGCAGTATGCGTTTTTACACATGTTTGTGAAGACGCTAGTGGAGTCAATGAAAACCAACTGAGTAAGCATTCTTATCTTGAATTGTATTCTATTGCATCCACGTATGTCGACGGGCCGAATTATTGACATTTTGGGTTTAATTACGTCCTAAAGATTCCTATTGGCAGCGTATTCTGCATCACGTGACCCATGCTTGGTTGCAATGTATTTGGAGTCAAACTGTCGAGAAATGCTTTTCTATCTTGTTCTATCGGAAATAAATCCGAATAAATCGAACACATCAGGCATTTGAGGTCAGTTACAAGATTATGGAATAATAATACAAATTGGTCTTTCACGACATCTGAATCGTGGGGGTAGAGTTCAGTGTGGAATGTTGCCTTAGATTTGAGTTGTAAGTTGGTTACCAGCAGGAGCATGCTACCATGTTTTTTCATGTTAGTCCCCTCCAAGAGTTTCAACAAATTAGCCAGCGTTTCCCTGAGTAGCAGTCCATAAAAGATCAACATCCGCAGATTCCACAGTTAGTCAGAAAGCCGAATGCTTAGATACGTGATGTCAGTTTTGTGTCGCTCGCAGGATGCCTTACACACCCTTCTCCATTGTCTTGATGTTGTCGGAGTTCTGAAGCAATCAGAGCTTATTTGCTTGTCATAGGGACAAAAATCTTTGTTGCATTGATCTAAATTCACGGCATTATTATTCGAGCAACGGAGTAATCTAGAGTGTAATTTAGGGTGTACTGTAATCCTCTCCATAGGTATGGGTTTTATTTGTCTCTATTTATCCAGCTGTCACACCAGGGATGGAATCAAGTGTTCATATTAGCCGAGAGTTTACAATCGCTCACTTGTACGACCCATTAAAACTAGTTTGCCTGCCCAACCCAAGGAACCACATGCATTGGTAGGTTTTCCCACACCAACATGATCAGCTTAGCCTCAACGTGGTGTCGCACATGCTAGCGTGATTGTATGATCGTCAGGATAGTCGCACAATTTTTTGTTTTAATAATCGGTGGTGCTGCACACTACCTTTTCCCAGTCCTCAAGTCACTCGTACTCTGAAGTCATGAAGACAAAGTGGTGTTTGTTTTTAAAAAAAGGCACGTTTTCTTGGTCTCTTGGTGCGGAAAAAAATTATCTATCATGCACAGGATTTCAGGCTTTGTAAGCTGGCCAACATCAAACTGCTGTTTAATGCATACAGTTTGTATCTGCCCTAGATCCGAGTTCAAATTCCAGTCGTATTTCGAGAAATACACTCATTTGCAAATCAATTTGGTTTCCACGAGAGACTCAACTGAATCTCTCGTTTATGATAGTCTACAAATGATAAGCCCCAAGAAGGGCAAAACCAGTCGTGGGCTGTTGAAGTGTTTTCAGCAACCTTGTGAGTAGTTTCAAGTCGTATTTATTCGATAGGACAATTGGATCGCTCATCAGCTGATGCACTCGTCTGCACCTAAACTTTTGATTATTGGGATGTAATCGTACAAGATAAGAAGATTAGAGCAAAATTGACGTGAACGACTTTGCTCTCCAGATGTGGATACATGCAACCGCTTCTTCTTCGGTAGCTCACCATTCACAATACTCTTGTCATCTTCGTCGAGGCGATCAAATAATCTTAAACAAAACATCCGTGTTTGTGAAAAGACATATACTGATTTAGATATTCGCGTCTCCGAACGTGCAAAGACGTCTGCTATTGGCCTCCATTTGGAATGCTGAGCAACGCGCCTGCACAAAACCTGAGCAGTTCTATTTTGAGTTCACAAAATGTGTTCATCCTTTTGCCCAAATGAGAGAAACATTTTGCCGGCTGCGTTAAGATGGTGGCCTGGTTGTGTCCTTTCCCTCCAAAGAAATGTATTGTTCAATCGACTTACTCTCTAACTTTTCAGCTACTCACAAAATCTTTCCGGTTTGTCAATTCTTTTGTGAGAAACACCACGTCTCCTGTACTGGACAATGTCACTCTATCACTTGTGCTCTTCTTTTGGTTCGCACTTCCCCAAAACTTTGAGTCATGAAAATTAAACACTACTTCAGAATTACTTCCGTTTTCTTCGATTTTGAGGCTTTGTTCATAGCCTTCACTAGCAGCCGCAACAGGTAAAACCACATTGCTCAACTGCGAAGAAGAAGGGGTATGAAGCGAATAAACGAACCACATTCACAGCTGGTGATATCGGATGGCCAATACAGTACAACCTAGAGGTGCATTTGGGAGACATTTGAGTCATTGAGGACCTAAATGCTTACCATAGTTAGCTTCAGAACCTTCATTGCAAGTTCGCTATTAGTTTTGGGACTGTAGAGGCTACATCTAATCACCCCAATTGAACTCTAAACTGAAGATTTTAAAATTGACTCATTTTCTGAAAAAAAGCATACATGGATATTTTGCTTAGCACTCGGAATTTAGTTAAGCCCTTGCTGGTTACTCCCACTACTGAGTAACTGACCGGATGGTTAATTAATCCTATTCTATCCGAGAGGCGCATGTTTGAAACTCCTTGGAGTTAAACGGTGGACTGCAGATGATTTCTAGTGAGGATGATACCTTTGCATAGTACTTCTGGATTTTTCAGCATAAAATGATCCAGTGACAAAAAACACCTCAACTGAATTTGAGGATACGGCCTTCTCTTAGCTTAGATGTGCTCAATCGATTCCCCATTAGGATACCTGAATCACTAGGAAAGCGTGAGGCTCGGAGTGTATAGCTCAAACATCAATATCTCATCAACAATAACAGGTGGTCTGTGAAAGGCGCTACGCAAGTCTTGACTTCCGAATATCTGTCTTGAAACATATAGGGTAAAACTGATTTATAACCAAGATATAATCAGATTGCATATAGTATGTATCGTTGAGGTCCACGCGAACAGTCACTTAGTATGATAGGTGATCAGCGACCCCGGATCCATGCCATTGGACGTCTCTAGGACAATGTTCTTTCCTGTAAAAATCAGTAAAGTTGAAACTACGGAGTGTTTTCTCCACAGTTTTCCGTGAGCATAGATGGTGGCGGAAACATTTTTGCGCCAACGAAATTGTCCCCTGGGAGCAAGTGTTTATTCATAGTGCCAAAACCTCACTTTCCGAGCTCTCTCGGTTGTTATACAAGTGGCTGAGGTTGACCAGTATAGCCAAACCAGTGAAACAGTGATAGAATGTTCGTAATGCACTATTCATAAGGTTGTTGAAAATTCGTTGACAGCCCACGACCGGTTTCGCACTTCTTGGGGCTCATCAGGTAGGCACAGTCTCCTAGTTTACGTCAACCCTATGTTCTACTTGAGACCTAATCGGACGAAATTAGCGAAATGCACTCATTTGCAAACTACTTTGGTTTTGCGAGAGTCTCACTTGGAACCCAGCTGAATCTCTCGTTTGTGGTGTTTCCAGACAGAATAATTTGCTTAGTCAAATATCAGCCAGGTTTTGACAAGTCAAAAAAACATGTCAAAAGCTCATTCTCATTTGCAAGCGCGGTTCTGTTATAATCGACAGACACATGAGGTAGAATAATAACTAGAAATGACGTGGAGTAATAATAGGAGTTAGTCAAATATTCGGCAATGGCATGGCATGCACCAGAAACTGGGCATAGGACAGATTTAGAAAACGTGGACATCCTGAGGTGGGGTTTAATATTCACAACGACTGGTGGCCGAGGCGGTGGAGATCACCAAGCATCCCAGCGTGAATAGAATGGAGGGGGTAGAACTTGCCAACATGTGGAGGGAGGTCTTAGATCAGCCAAGATGACACGAGGCAGTGTGCAGTTATCAGAAAGGTGGTCTGGGTCTAAAAGTACAAAATCCAAGT